ATCAAAAATTTTAAATGACAATATCAAGTGTTGACAGTAGTGTAGAACAGTAGGAACTGTCATACTTCTGATACTATAACAGACACCTCTCATCATCTTGAGAGGTGATTTAGACCCTGGCAGAGAGTTGTGGTTAAATTTGTGATAATTATACAAAATGACAAGCAAATGAATAAACTACACAATTCCAGTAAAAATTAAAACTTGTGGAGGAAAGAAAAATTATTCTAGATGGTAGATGGCTCAATTGTGAGTAGCATTTTTATGTTTATAACAAAATAGTCATAATAATTTAAATACTAACATTGATCTAATTAAGACAAACACTTATCACAAAAGAGGTGGAACAGAGTGAAGGGGTAAAAGAGAAGTAAATCACTGTCTTCCTAGTGGGAGGCCAATAGAAAATTCCAAAACTGAAAAAACAGTAAGTAGCAATATAAGCAAATTATTTAGTCATATGGAGATAAAGAACAAAAGAACTAAAAAAAGAGTTGAAAGTTATTTCCTCAAGTACAAGAATGGGGACTGCCTATTTTGGTAAACACATTACAGAATCAACCTTTTCAATTATATGCCACAATATCTTAGGTATAAAAGAAGGAAAATACAGAAAGAACTAAATAAAGAGTTTCACTCTTGTTGCCCAGGCTGGAGTGCAATGGTGCAATCTTGGCTCAAGGCAACCTCTGCTTCCCAGGTTCAATCGATTCTACTGTCTCAGCCTCCCAAGTAGCTGGGATTACAGGCATGTGCCACCATGCTTGGCTAATTTTGTATTTTTAGTAGAGACAGGGTTTCTCCGTGTTGGTCAGGCTGGTCAGTAAATGAATTTTTAAAAGAAAGAAAATAGTGAAGAAAAAAAGAGAGAAAATGAAAGAAGGAAGCTGCGAACTAATTTTTAAGCCTCCAATGAAGGAATTTCCAATATTAATGGATCTGTGGACCATTCCAGTAAAGTCAGTCTCACCATGACCCTCCTCCCACTCTTGTAACCATTACCTGACTAGCCAGGTAAACGGGTAAGTTAACCACTGTGTCTCAGTTTTTTCATTAGTTAAATGGGCCAATAGTAGAATCTATCTCATCGACTGAAATGAAGTTATCGCAAAGCTGACATGGTGGCTTTAAAGTTTTATAAATTTTCAAAGGTAAGATATTTAAAGCACCATTAACAACCAATGTCACAACAAAACATAAACCTTACAATGCTTGGCTGGGCCCAGTGGCTCACACATGTAATACCAGTACTCTGGGAGGCTGAGGCAGGAAATTAGTTTGAGCCCAGGAATTTGAGACCAGCCTGGGCAACACAGCAAGACTCCTATCTACTAAAAATTTAAAAAATTAGCTGGGCATGGTGGTGTTTGCTTGTACTCCTGGCTACTCGAAGGCTGAGATGGGAGGATTGCTTGACCCCAGGAGTTTGAAGTTGCAGTGGGGCTGTGTTTGTTTCACTGTCCTCCAGCCTGGGTGACAGAGGCTGACCTGTCACCTGAGACAGGTTTGACCCTGTCTCAAACACAAAAACAAAAACAAAACCCGAACAAAAAAGACTTACAATGTTCCAGTTATTTATCCATAATACCTTCCTCATAACAAATCAGGAAAGGGATATTAGTTTGGGGAAACAGCTTCTCTAAAGTCTAGGAAATCTCGATGAAACAACTCTGCCACCAATGAAATTCCATCTACTCACTGAGAATACTCTTGCCTCCCAAATACACTTTCCATCACTTAACCAGCGCTGTGTACACAATGAGGGTCTTGCTGTTATTTGCTGTCTTTCCTGCTGACCGCTTCTTTCTTTAGCTGCACTTTCTTTAAATCAGTGAAAGTCTGCATTTGGTCAAAGACGCATTATGTCTTTAGGCCTGCAAGGCGTTTTTCTTCTTCCATTGTGTGCTGATTTAATTAGGTCACTTCTCAAAACTTTCCTGACCTCTGATGGCACAGCCCACAGAGGTCTGCAGAATTTTCTACTCCTATAAATCCTCAAGCATTCAGCCAGCACCTGTTGAGGGCAATCACTCGCAAAATACAGCTTTTCTCAAATCAAACCTCATCTTAACATAGCGGATGTGTGTGCTAGAAATGTGGGTGTTACTTTCATTGCAGTTAGGAAGTTTGTTATCAAATCCTATTTATAATGTTTTTGAACAGTGGACTTACGCTGAACATAACAATGACGAAGAAATACAAAGCAGCCTGCATAGGTGGTGGCAGAAGGATGGGAGGGAGGGAGAGTTACGGGGACTAATTACGAAATAAGCACAACAGGGACAAAGGACCTGCAGCATGGCTCCACCCACAATCCAAGACAATGGTCTGGTGCCAAAAGAATCTTCTAGACTGGCCTGTGGGGTTCTTTTGGCACCAGACCATTATTCTCTGATTTATTGCTTCTGTAACACCCAGATTGGTTTAACGCTTTAAAAATCTATTAAATTATATACCCCGGTTGAAACAAATTCTGTGGTTAATTACTTACATATTATTTTTAATTTTTTTTTTGGCCTTACTCATCTCTCAGAGATTACTCATTGGTTTTAATGCCTCTGGGTCAACAAACATGTGCTCCTTTCTTCACACTATTCTTTATCTTCTAGGTTTCAATTTTGACGTTTTTTCAGTCTTTGAAGTTATAGGCCCATGAGTTCTAAATGCTAGTAAGGCATTAATATGGATTCCACTGACTTGCTGCTAAGAGGGGTGAAAGAAAACTCTTATATTAGAGAATTTTAGAAAGTCTGAGAAGGGCAACTGTTACTAGGAATTAGCACCTTTTCAATATAACATAGAAAATGAGATGGTGGATGAGAGGAATACTGGGAGAAAGTGATTGCATTAGTGTTCTACTGCAGCATAAAAAGTTACCACAAACTCGGTGGCTTCAAACAACGCAAATTTATTATCTAACAGTTTCTGTAGGTTGGAAGCCTAGAAAAAGCAGAGCTGGACTTTCTGCTCAGGGATTCATCAGGCTGAAATGAAGCTTTCAACAGGGGTGTGGTTTTCAAATAGAGTGTTTTCAAGCTCACTGATTTTTGGAAAAGTTCATTTTTTCTAAGTAGTAGAAGTGCAATTTCCATTTTCCTGTTGACTTTTACCCAGGGGCCGTTCGCAGCTTCTAGAAGATGCCATAGGTCCTTGCCTCTGGCCCCCACAGGCAGTTCATGCATAAAGGTTTACATTTTTCCAGGCTAGCCCAGGGATATCTCTCTGATCTCTTCTACTCTGGCCATCCAGGAAAAACTCTGCCTTTTAAGGTCTCATTGTAGGTCAGGCTCTCCCAAGATAGTCTCCTTATCTTAAGATCAGCTGATTTGGCATCTTAATTACATGCAAGAAATCCCTTCACTTCAGCATATAGGTTGGTGTTTAATTGAATAATTGGGAGAAAGTGAGTGAGTATACCAGCGGCCTTTTAAATCTTGAGAACATTTTAGGATTCTGCCCACCAAAATGGTTTGGGAAGAAATGAAAACTTTTTTTGTGCTGGATATCCAGTGTGCAGCGGACTGTTTGTGTCTAGTAACTATAAGTGATGAAGTCACAGCCTGGCCTCTCTGCAGAGATTCCTGGATTAAAGGACCTTCCCTTTCATCAACCTCCCCTATTCCTTTCCACAGATGGCAAGTTTTTACAAAGAAACCCACTCCTACACTGAAAATAGGGGTTCTTTAAGACTTCTGGACTTGATATGCAATCTGCAGATCTGTTAGTTGACTCACTTTTTAAAAATTAACTTTGTTATTGAAGTATGACATTCATATAAAAAGTGACGTGATCATAAGTGTTCAGCTCAACAGAGGATCACAGAGTGAACACACCCACATAACCACATTCATCTCACGAAATAGAAGCTCGCCAGCATCCCAAAGCCTCCCTAACGTCCCCTCCCAGGCTTTACATCCTCCTACTTCTCTCAGATTAACCATTACCCTGATTTTTGATATCATAGGATTAGGTTTGCCTCTTTGTGGACTTTTTTATAACTAGAAGCTTATAAGAAACCTTTCTGTCATATGTCTTTCATTCAATATTGCGTTTGTGAATTTCCATTGGAAGAACATGCCACAATTTATTTGGCCAGTATATTGTTGATCGATCTTTGCACTGTTTCCAGTTTTTGACTTCTCCAAATAGTAATTCTATGAACATCCTTGAACCTGTCTTTTGGTGGGCTGTGCACCCCTGCTTATCGTACGTATTCCTAGGAGTGGAAATGTGAGGTTGTAGAGAAGGCATGAATTCCGCTAAAGCATTTACTGCAGAAGAGCACCACCACCCTTAACTGTGGTTAATGTCCAGTTTGGAGACTGTTTTATCCTCCATGTAGAGTAAATTTCCAGTCTTCTACTGGAGTGGGAAGGCTCAGCTGTCCAGCTAGTGGAGTGAGTGAGGAAAGGGGTCTGGGCATTCAGCAGCCTCCTATAGTTTCAACTCATTCTCCCTGTTTTAGCCAGCGTATCTCTCCTCAGCCCCCTTCAAGAGTTATCTGGTCCTGTCAACTTCAGAACATTTGGTCTTTCATGTTGCAAATTAGATTGTTTTTCAGGTTTCCTTACCACCAGTTTTGGATTCACTTTCCCCAGGCCTGCTGCCTTTTTTCTTTTCTTTTCCTTTCCCTCCTCTCCCCTCCCTTCCTTCACCCCTAGGCTAAGCCTCCCCTTCCCCCCTTCCCCCTTCCTATCCCTTTCCTTCCCCTTCCCTTTCCCACCTTTCTTCACCACTTGGCTCCCCACTTCCCTCCCCCTTTGGCTCCCGGATTCCCCTTCTCCCCTCCCCTGTTCCCTTCCCTTCCAGTCTCACTCTGTTGCCCAGGCTGGAGTACAGTGGTGTGATCTCAGCTCACTGCAGGCTCAACCTCCTGGGCTCAAGCAATCCTTCTACCTCAGTTTCCCTAGTAGAGATGGAGTTTTGCCATGTTGCCCAGACTGGTCTCAAATTTCTGAGCTCAAGCAATCTGCCTGACTCAGCCTCCCAAAGTGCTGAGATTACAGGTGTGAGCCATTACACCTGGGGATGCCTTTTTCATCTTTCCAGTTTTCAAGATTTTTGATGATGCTATGCCCTTTCCCATTTCTTTGCCCCTATTTTATACCTTTAAGACACAGTTCATTGTGTTTTGTCTCAAAGTTCATTTGTGTTTTGAGGAGCTGGAAGGAAACAAAAGAAGAAAGCACATATGTTTAACACCGTCTATCTGGTGAGGTAACATTCCTTTAAATGTTCAACATTCCTCTCAGAGTAAAGGGGTAAAGGAAGTTTCTTTGCATTATGTGACATGGCTCATGGCTTCATAAAATAAGATTCTAGCCTGCTTCCTGAGGTTAGGATTTTGTTTCTCTCTTTTGTTGTTGTCTTCAGACATTTATGCATTTTTATCTTGCTTATAATGTGTTAGAAGGAAACATACCATCTGCAGCACCAAGTCTAACATCATATAACTGTACATTGATAGAACCAAGATATTTATGAGCTGTGACTTCCGCAGTGATGGGTTTGTTATTAAGATGTTTTGGAATTATTTAGATGTTTGTTTCTGTTTTATGCCAGTAGTCTGAGAAAATACGTAGCTTAGATCTCAATAGAAACAGTTAGCACTGGTGGGATCAACAATGTTGTCCCACTGATGGATTCACACACGAAGTCAAGAGTGTCTAATGAGGTGGAACTCTGAAAATGGTGCCAAGCTCTTCTATGCCTAATGCCAGAGTCACCTTGAGGCACAATTTTTTTATTATTATAGGAGAAATTACTCGAGGGACCTATATTAGTTATGGTAAGGTAAGGCCAACATATACCTATTGTCGTGGGGTGGGGGAGAAATAATAGACCATGTGTGGTCTCCTGAAAGTGACCCTTCCAATATCTTTTGGTTTAGAAAATGGTCCTGAAAAGAAAGTGGGAAAATTTACCCAGACATCAAATAACTGCTTGGAAGTAAAGAGATCAAATTTCTTTTGTTTTCTTTTGGGGTTCTGGTGTTGGAAAAACCTTTCTACTGTGTTGGAATTGCAATGAAAGATGTCCATCACAGGTCTTGGAGAGAAGTTTGCCATGAATGAAAAGGGAGCTTGCATTGTAACTTGGGCCTAGAGACCCCTGGCGCAGGGCTGACTCTGTGCAGGAGGCAGACAAGGCTGATAACCTGCAGACCCACTCTACTCTGGCATGTTGGTCCTGTTTTGGTATCAATGGTTGGATATGTGTGTGCAAAGTAAACAGCTCAAATAGGCGGCTTTTCAGCAGGCTCTGCTACAATCAGGACAAGTAGGGGCTTTACCAACAGAGACAGTGATTATATTATGGACCTTAGGGCCTTGGAGACACCTAAGTGTTCTGTAAGACACTGTATGACAATAATAGATGCTGAGGACCCCAAGAATCAGTGAGAATCAGTGACATGAGGGGACCAGCCAGATGCTAGTTGCCTGGCATTTGGAAAGAGAATTAATTCTTTTGAACTGAGTAAGATTGTGGAGTTCTTGAATAGTTTCAGTGAGAGAACATGTATACCGTGTTGATACCCTAGGAATGAGATCTTAGACTTTCTAGTATGAGCGTATGTGAATTCCTAAATTGTTAACAGCAAATATAGGACATTGGACAACATTTTCAGCTGGTGACGCAGGTCATCCTCTCAATTTTTGTTAATGAGATCCCACCTTCTTACCATGTATATGTATCTTGTTTTAGATAATCTCCCAGTAGTCAATGCTGAAAATAATGGCACCTACATTATAGGATTGTGATTAGGATTAAAAAGAAAAAGAATGCAAACCTTTAACACAGTGCTTGACACATAGTGAATGCTAAATAAATCTTTGTTGTTTCTGTTCTCTCAAGTTCTTTCTGGTTGTTACAAAGTGTTTGTAGTACCAGAGTGTAGGAAAACCATCTATGTTATGAGCTCTGTAATCTTAAGCATTTTACAGTCATTTTTCTGGACCTTGGTTTCTTGATCTTTAGAATGGGAAATACTACAGCAATTTTCCAGGGATGTTGCAAGGGTTGAATAAGATAAGGTATATATGGCAACCGCCTTAAATACAGCACTAAAGGTTGTGCAAACCAAAGTTCTTCTGATTTTTAGTACCATCCTAAGGAAATGCCAAATCTGGCTCAGTAGCTAGACAATTATAGTGGCTAATCCTGAATCTTCATCTCTGAATGGAATAGTTTTCTCAGTGAGCCTTCAAGGGAGAGAAAGTTTGCAAGTAGATTCTTACTCCTTTCATTTCTTGAGGAGCATGCTATTTTCTGTCATTTTTCAAGGATTTTTCATTGCTGGTATTTTCCCATGAGGGCATAAAGTGGTAAACAAACATAATTGGTCAATATTGTTTGAGTTGTTTTAACCTAGGAGTCTGACTGACTTCCTTGCTCCCCACTGAGTTCACTAGGACTGTATCTCCAAGTGCCTGAGTTCCACCCCTCGTTCAACACCAGCCAGAGTCACAACCTTGGCCAGGAGGGAAAAATTGAAACCAGAAGAAGAAAGAACATTTTAAAGAGATTGTGACATGACGACTCAGTGACAATCAATTGAAGGAGAGTAGTGGAGCGGGGAAGTGCCATGAAGGCCACTGTCTCATTCATTGAGAGTGTTGGACTGGCTCCATAAGGAAGCCAGGAAAAGCTCCATGAAGCCAAGTTTCTAGGCAGAGTTCTACAGGGCGGAGGGGCACCACACTTTCTTCTTCTTCTTCCTTTTTATTTTTTCAATTGCTGCAAAAGTGAGAAAGTGACCATTTCCCACAGGCCCTGGATAAATACCAGACATCCTGAGGGAAGCTGCGTGCCCACTCTCAGAATGCCCTGTGTCCTGATCTGGTCCTCGCCATGTAGCTCCCATGGGAAGCCTATTAGGGGCTTGGGAACAGTGGTGCTCATTTGAGGAGAATGCCAGCTCTCCCTTCCACTCTGCTGATTATCTATTCTTTACTACTTGCTATCATTCTGATTGTGCTTTCCCTGGCATCAAAATGCAGTTTTGTTGTGTTTCAGCCATCGAAAATGATTTCCTGAGTGATTCTCTCATCTCTTCCAGACGTCTCTCTCCGCATTCCCTGCACCCCCGCCCCGTTTGTCTGGCAGTTAGTGAGTCAGCACTTCGTTCTTACTCTTTGCTGACAGTAGTAAAGGGAGACTTCCTAGCAGCTGCTCAAATACCTCCCAAAGACAGCAGCCTTTCTGCAGTGGGAGCACTGATTTTACTGATTCTCTGCAGGGTTTCTAAATAGCGGGCCTCCTATAAATCAAGCCTCATTTGAGTGAAATGGGCAGTAAAGACAGGTGCCAACACTGGAAAATAATTTCCAGTACATGTAGAAATTTAAGGAATTGTTATTCTTTGACTATGGCGCTGTGCTTTAAGATCTAGCTTGTGTTTGAGTCAAAATTAAGTTTTACAGTGTTTGTCACACCAGCGTATAGAAAAATCATCCATCTCTTGCCCCCTAAACGGGACTCCTCAGACACAGGGGTGCACTGAAAGGTTATTTATGGTAGAAGATTCCTTAATTTCTTTTTGCTTTGCCTCACAAGCTTCATCTTTCCTTTGGTATCTTATCTAGGGCAAAGTTCTCAATCTCAACTTTAATATTTTATGCCAAATTTATTTTATTTTGTTTTTGTTCCTATGCATTGTATGATGTTTAGCGGCTTCCTTGGCCTCTAGTATACTCCTGCCTTTCCTAGTAGTGACAATCATAATTGTGCCCTGGAGACAAAATTACCCCCAGTTGAGAACTGTTGGTCTAATGGAAGTTAAGTAGAATAAAAGAAGGACTTAGAAGACTTGAGCTCAAATCTAATTTCAAAGGCTCCTTAATGTAGCTTCTAACTTTAATCTTTGATTCTAGAATGTGCTGCGCTCTTATAGTCTGAGAGCTGGCCAGTGCTGCTGGCATGAATTCTGGAGTAATGAAGCCAAAACCATGTTCCTGATCCCAAGTAGGTCACAAAGACTGGTCAATTCTATGATCCTACTCTGTATCTCTAATCCCAGGAAGCTGTAGTTCTGGAAACTTATTCTTTCGGAGAACTGAAATTCTTCTTTCTACCCTCACACTCCATCCATTTACCATCCAGGTAGCCACCGTTAGCAGTATCTTAGATGTCCTTGCAGAGTTACTTCTTGAATATGTCAGCGAATGTGCATACAGATTCCTCATCAGTTTCCCACTCCCCCAAATGGACATGTTGTACATTCTAGAATGCACCATTTCTTTCTTATCACTGAATCATAAGATTATTCCATATCAGTAGATACTTCATTTCCTCTTTTTTGGGGTCAACTGTTATATATAGTTCTATCATATAAATGTATCAACTTATTTAATTTCTCTCACTGATTTGTACTATTACAAAAAAGTGCTGTAGTGAAAAATTTGTGTAAACATCAAGAAGTGAAATTGTTTGGTCAAATGAAACATGCATTTGTAATTTTGACAGATGATGCAAACTGTTCTCTCTAGGAGTTATAGTAATTTACCTCCCCACAAGCAATACATCACAGCATCCATTTCTCTGTAGTCAGGACAACAGGGCTACTACTTTGGATTTTTATCAATTGGTAGAACATTGTGTTTCAATGTAGTTTCATTTTGCATGTATCCTACTATTGAAGAGGTTGTGTTTCTTCATATGTGTAAGAGTCATTCTTCACTTTTTTTGTGGACCATTTGTTCATTTCTTGCCTATTTTTCTTTTGGATTGTTGGGTTTTGTTATGAATTTCTAGAAGTGTCATATATTAAGGAGACTAACCTTTTGTTGTATGAATTGCAAATATTTTTTCCAATATGTCAATTGTTTTTTATTTTGTTCACAAATTTTTTGCTTAAATAAACTTTACAAAATTTTATTTCATCTAACAAACGACTTTTCCTTCGTGAATTTTGTTTCTAATTACAAAGAAATTTTCATGTTTCTTCTTCTTTTATTGGAGTTTTCCCTTTGTTAACATCTAAATTTTTGTTTCATATGGAATTTATCCTGGTAACTAAGTATAAGTTATAAATCCCATTTTGTGTTTTCCACTACTCAAGCCTCCAGTTTCCCACAGAACTCAACTGGCTCTCTTGTTTATTTTTTCAGAGCAGTCATTTTTAAAGGAAGTTCACTAATGTAAGGATATTTTCTACTTTTCACCACATGAACAGTGCCTGCAGCAGTAGAGGGCTGGACCGGGGTGAAGGACTGTGGGCCATATTCCTGCAGCATCTCTAGCTCTTCCAAACTACATTAAGGTCACTTCTGCTTTGCACAAAGTCCTCATGTACTTGTTCATTAGATTTGCAGGAGTATATAGGAGTACATAGAGTAGGGAAAAGCCTGCTTCTTTCTAATTTTGTATAAACATGGCCAGTTTGAAAAGACTCTTGGCCGGGTATGGTGGCTCATTCCTGTAATACCAGCGCTTTGGGAGGCCGAGGCGGGTGGATCATGAGGTTAGGAGTTCAAGACCAGCCTGACCAACATAGTGAAACCCCATCTCTACAAAAAATACAAAAATTAGCTGGTTGTGGTGGCACATGCCTGTAGTCCCAGCTACTCAGGAGGCTGAGGCAAGAGAATCGCTTGCACCTGGGAGGTTAGGTTACAGTGAGCCAAGATTGCATCACTGTACTCCAGCCTGGGCAACAGAGAGAGATTCTGTCTAAAAAAAAAAAAAAAAAATCAAACGCATTCAGAGATTAAGAGTTAGTTGGCTCATTCTTAAGTTAGTGAGCTTTGTGTGAATACCTTCAGCATTTGACTTTCAATGTTTACCTTCAAGTGAAAATACTTACTTATCTGTTAGCTGCTGATATGGTTTGGCTGTGTCCTCACCTAAATCTCATCTTGAATTCCCACATGTTGTGGGAGGGATCTGGTGGGAGGTCATTGAATCATGGGGGCAGGTCTTTTCCTTGCTGTTCTCACGATAGTGAGTAAGTCTCATGAGATCTGATGGTTTTATAAGGGTGAGTTTCTCTGCCCACCCTCTCTTCTCCTGTCTACGTGATGGAAGACATGCCTTTTACTTTCTGCCATGATTGTGAGGCCTCACCAGCCACGTGGACCTGTAAGTTCATTTAAACCTTTCTTTTGTAAATTGCCCAGTCTCAGGTATGTCTTTATCAGCAGTGTGAAAATGGACTAATACAACCACACTTTGTTTCTTCCCCTGTATTAACCTATCTTGCTTGAGTGAAAAAAGAATCTATGAGGATGGATGGTTCTTTCAAATTGCTTTTCTCAGGAAGGCCTGTAACCTAATGTGCATTTTCATGGAGAAGAAATAGATCAAGATCTCATATTTAAGTAAGTCCACCAAAATATACTGTCTTCTTCAAAAGACCCTGCCATTTCCTTACCAACCTCTTAAAACGCTATTGCTGAGCTGGTCAGGCTCCATGGCTTCTGTGCACATGCCAAAGCCTGACCACAGACGCCTCCATCCCTCCTGCAGAAGCATTTTGTCAAGCTGGTACAAAATAAAAGCTTGGATCCTGGCTGACCCTTGATGGCACCAACTCAACTCACTCAACTTTACTTACAACATTAGTAATTTTCACACAATTACTAATGTGAGAAAATAAAAATAGCTTGAGAAACACCAATAATTTAAATGAATCATTCATATGGCATCATTTAACTATATAGTCCCAGACACACCCTATAGTTCTTATATACTATGCATTTGAAATAGTAATTTTGTCTTTCATTTTCAGTCAATAATTCATAAGGCATGATATTTGTCTCAAAAATCCAAGCTCACCTTGATTCATGCCAAGAAAACCAAGAACCATGCTTCATTTAAATTGGAATCTAAAACATTTCGTTGGCAATCTGCATTTTAGAGACTGCAAATATGTCTGCCTGAGAATCGCAGGGATTGGTCCTGCATGTGTTCAATTTCTCAAGATCTTAGAACAACTAACAAAACTAGCACTGCATTTTGATTTCCTTTGTTTTGAAGATAACACATTAGCTTAATCTTAAGCATTTTCTTTAGAGAAACACTAAGTGGTGTGGTAATGGATGCAGCACATAGAGAGGTACATTGCTACGTGTAAATCAAGGGTGTGAACAAGAAGCCCATGGTAATACGATGTCTGGAAATTGCTTCATGGTGTCAAACTTGTCCATGGATCCCAGGATCATTCCTTATTCTTGGCTACTGTGACTCAGAAAAGACAAAGGGAAAGACAAGGCATGCAGTGGGTGTGGTGGCAAGGTTAGCACCATTTTGCTCTTAGGTTTACACTGTCTGAGTCTCCTTGACCACTTTGCTCTTCGGGCATCTACCTCTGCAAATGGAAGCTCTCAATGCTGAGTTCCAACCTGTTAACAATAGCAAAGGAGAAAGTCTGTTATACTCATTCATTTTTCAGTGCCATAAGGTCAGAGACTACACCCTCTTTATATTTTGCAACTCCCAAACTCAGTTTTATACCAGAACCATCCTTGATTCTCTGACAGGTAACTTGGCTCCTCTTTATAGCACAGTCGCTAGTGTGCAGTTTTAGGCAATTTAGTCTCCCTCTGTCTTATGAGGACCCAGGCAATGTAAGTGATGTATAGAGTACTTTTTTTTGTCATGCTTCTTACCATGGTTTATTAGAACTTAAGCTAAGATGGAAAAAAAAAATGCAGATAGGGGATGCGGAGTTGGGGAACCAACTTAGTAAATAGTAGCAAGACCATTTGGCCTCAGCGTATTTGCATTCTAGAAAAGGTTTCTTCCAGCAAAGGGACCAAGAACACTTTGTCCAGATGATAGACATCTTGTCCTAAGTATTCTTTGTATTCTTCAGAGTTAATGGATAGTGAGGAACTTTCACATTATTCAGTTTTGATTTCTCTAGCCAATGAGCAGTTACTGGTGTCCCCCCAAAAAGAAATTTCATTTTGTGGAAGATTTAGATCTTGGTAGGAAGCAATAATATTTGCAGAAGGTCTGAATTCAGTGGGTAAATTTCTTATGCCTTCCTTGTTGTAGTTGGCTTTAAATATACAAAACAAACAAAAACACAGTGCTTACATTACCATACCCTAGTCCTCACTCTTGGGCCATGATCCTGCCTATTTCCTGTTGTTTCTCTGGACAATTGAGTTGCTCCAGCTTCTTTTGGCTCACAAAAGCATTACATCATCATTCATTACATTCCCCCTATTGACCACACTGGAAATCTCTATATTCTGTTTTACCTCTTCAGCCCCACAGGTACAGCATAAATAAGGAATGTCAGACTTGTATAAACTGCCTTCACACTGCTATTTACTCTTACCCAGACTTTAGTGGGTTGCTAGCTTAAGGCTCAAGTTTCTAGTCTAATAAAAACAGAATTGGTGGTGTACTTAAGATCTAGACCTGCTGTTTCAGTAGAACTGCCTAGAAAATGAAGTTGCAAGGATGAGAAGCCAAATCTATCCTTCATCACTGGATGTTGTCTAAAATTTGACTTTTGGAGTATCATTCTTTTATCTGTAAGCACTAATAAAGCATGGAGTGTGAAGAGAGTAGGGACAGAGCTAACATATTTGAAATCTGTTATGTGCCAGCGAGTCCTTTAGGCAAAATCACTCATTATTATCTTTTTTAAATTTAATCCATGCAATAAAACTGTGAAATAGATAGTACTATAATATTCATTTTGTGGATGAAGAAACTGTGGCTTAGAAAGAGACTCAGGTCACACAGCTAGTCCGTATGAAACCACTACCAGCACACAGTCAGTAATTACAGAAAGCAGGATTTGAACTCTACTCTTCAAATCAGATTTGAAATTACTTGCTGTTTCCATCATATGCTGGGAGGAGTCTCGGAGCAGTCTTCCCAGGTAAGGAGTAGCCTCTCTTGGGAAGGGGAGGTCACTACCACAGGAAGAGGGAAAAGAGCAACAGTGCTGAGTTTACAGAATATGATCAGCTGTTTATTGATTTGTTTGCCTGGAAGTGGCCCTGCAGGTGCTGGCTGCAGAGCAGGTCTCTCCTGGGACTCCAGGGAAACAGGTTACACAAACATGCAATCAGAGAATGTAAGAGTATACGGGACCCTGGAAATCACCTAATCCAGCTCTCTTCTTTTATTGCAAATGAAGAAACAGACAGGAAAAAAAAACTTGCCCAGAAAGATGAAGCAATTCAGGGAATAGCAGAGTGGATAAGCCAAGCACTCCAATCTCAGTTTCTTCAAGTTCTCAACCTCCTATATCTGCCTGGGCTGCCATCTTCGGTTATTATTCTTGGTCCAAACCTCAAACTCCATCACTTAAATTATAATGTGTCAGCTTCCTACCAGCTATAGAAATGGACTGTGAGGAGCCTGGTGGTTTTAAAAATATTTTTCTGAATGATTCAGAGTCCCCTGGTATTCAGGAGTACTTTATTATCTGCATATACTATATTACTCATAATGTACACTAGAACGTTGGCTCCTACCGCATGAATATAGCGATCACAATCACATAAGCCACAACAGCAGCAGTGTCATTAGCATGGTGTCATTACACATGCACAGCCCACAGAGGTTCCCCATTTCTAATCAGCCTTCCTCTGCTTATTTCTTCAAATTATGTGAAATTGTTTTCATTATTTCATAATGAACAGGACAGTAGAAAGCTTCAGGTTAGAGAGTTAATTATAGCTTTTAATTTTACATCTGCCTCTTCAGAAGGTTGCTCACTGACTTAAGAACCATCTTACCCCAAATTGCCTGCAGCTCATATTTCCTTATGGCCTTCCAGGACTCTGCTGACTCACAGAATAAAATTACTTTACCTTCTAGTGCCTCAGGTTTCTCATTGGTAAACTGGAGTGGCTGATATAGACCAGCTTTGAGACATTTTTGTGACAAGCGGTGAAAAATGGTAGCAAGCTTAATTGTAGCTTTCTTGTACTCACAGCACAAGGGCGTTCTCAAAGGTCTAAATGACTCTGTTCAGTCAAACACATCAATAGTTCATTTGGTTCAGAATCTTATGGTTTTGTTGTATAATTTTATCCTATAATTTAATTGAGGAAGGAAAATTAACTTGTGAGTTCCTAAAAGACATGTAGGAAAAAAGAAAGTTGGGTTCTGACCTGAGCAGGAATACATTAGGTAAAAGTAGATCAGAAAAATGCTCATCAGAATACATAAGAAAAAGAAAGGAAATTGGATTATTCTACTGAGATTAAAAGACAATTGAAAGGTCAATGTGACAAAACTTTACTCCTCTCTGTATATATTATCTCGTTATATCTTACATATGCTTCTTTTGTTGTGGTTATTTTTTGTTCCCACATGGAAAGATGATGTAGCAAACCTGCACTTGGACCATAAACTTAAAATAAAAGTTAAAAAACATATATAATGCATGTCCATATAAGTCTGACATTGTTACAAATCAAACAATCCCCCCTTCCTTCCTTCCTTCCTTCCTTCCTTCCTTCCTTCCTTCCTTCCTTCCTTCCTTCCTTCCTTCCTTCC